AGGTGGGGCATGACAGCAGCATGCAGCCACAGCACGGTTGTGCCACAGTTGCACAGTCTCGGGAGCCAAATAGTGGGCTCAGAATAGCTACACAGTCACAGCAGGGAAACAGAAAGGGTTCAGGAAAAGAGCAGGCTGCATCCAGAGAGGAAATTACTACAGGGAAGGTAGAGGGCATGAGCACAGGTAGTTAAAGTTGCCCTTGAAGAAAATACGTGGACTGTGGCGTACGATCACTGCTAAAAGATGGTGCTAGAAGGAAAACTTGGGGATAGCGTGGTAGGAGTTGCTGCCCAGTAATGGAGCGTGTGAGTGTGCAGAACGGCACCTCTGTGTCCGCTCACCCAGGGGCTGGTGTCTCCGAGTAACCTTGGTAACATCAATCCACGTACGGTGATGGGACATCTGATCTGCTCTGCTGGAAATGGACACCCGCCCGCACCAATACTTCCCCATGCAGACAAGCCTTTTAGTATAAATTATGCAGTTAAACAGTTGCCATGGAGAGGTTGTAGCAATAGGAGGAAGGTTTTGTAGCACAGACAGCATCGTCCGAAATTTCAGAAGCGAGAGGAGCAGACGGTGCTGTCTGTGCCTGTGAGCAGGAGGCCCCGAGGGGGCAGCCGTTGTGGCACATTCTGCTAAAGGACAGAGCAGCAGAGGGACTTTGGGGCTAGAATCTAGGGAGGGAGAAGCAGTGACTGAGTTTGTTCTGAGAGTATGGACGGCTGGACTGCTGAGAGGTTCAATGTGGTGACAGTAAATGTTATTTCTGCATAGGCTACTTCTTCGTTGTGCCAGTTCACTGGCAAAAAAAAAAAAGCAAACTAATCAACTAATCTTGTCTGTATGTAATGCATTATCCATATGGGAATGTGAGGATAGCAGAGGCTAAATCTTTTAATTATCTCAGTAAAAGATTTTCTGTCGCCTTATTTAAAATTTTTATTATGTTTTAGTTGGAAGAACTTGTTAATATTTTAACCACCCCTCAGCTAGATAGCTGCCCATCAGTTGTTTGATCCTGGGGAGGTTTTTAAATAGGGCTCAGAGAGCTGCACCTTTAAAAGCTACAGGAAAAAAGACCCTCTCCAGATGTTTTGTAGAAATACATAGGTCAATGATGAACTATTTCTAAGCAGAATAGAGGCATGAATGTAACTATGTTCGTGATCAGAGAAAAGTGATAAATGCTGAATACATCAGCTCACTTTTCATGCTAAATGGCCTGTAATATTTAACAAGGTGAATACCATAAGAAAAAAAAAAAAGCATTATAATACTATATATATATAGCTACATTATATATATATATGCATATAAATACATATAATAATCAGTCTGCTTTCAGCTCTAGGAACCAGACTGTTGTTGTGACCCATTCCTGTAAGCATACAGGTTTTAATATAAAATGAATTATTCAAAAGTGGATGGATTCTGAAAGACCTCAGAATAAGTTTCAAAACTAGCTTGAAAATACAAAATACTCTTTATTTGTACTAATGCTTGGATTCTTTGACACTTGTAGAGCCAGCGTATGAGGCACAGCAGCCATTCTGCAGAGAACTCTCCCATTGAGCGACGAAGTCTAATGACCTCAGATGAAAATTATCACAATGAAAGGGCTCGGAAGAGCAGGAACCGCTTGTCTTCCAGTTCCCAACACAGCCGAGATCACTATCCTCTAGTGGAAGAAGAGTACTCTGACTCATACCAGGACACTTACAAACCCCATAGGAACCGAGGATCCCCTGGAGGATATAGCCATGATTCACGACATAGGCTTTGAGTTCAAGAACCCGGGGAAAAATAGTATTCATCAGTTGATAACTTGCCATAACGTAGCTAGGAAAACCAATTCATCTTAATTTGGCAGATGTAATGCGGTCATACTGAGGTTACAATCTGCTGTCATTTGATGTTAAGTAGGGGACAAAAAAAGTTACCATGCCCTTACGTTTATGCCCGATCATATAGGTTGTATTTGGGTTTTGTTTTTTTTAGTACAGCATTTACATTTATAGCCATGCCTTTTCTTGTCATTAGATATTAGGCACATCAGTTTGTAATTTAGGATACTTATCAAGGCACTTATAAAATAATTTCCTGTGCTGGAAATTCCAAATGACCAGTTCCAGTTGGAACCAATTTATAAGCCAATTCCTGTTGGAATTCGGGTGAATTGACTGGAAAGTCGACTTGAGCATGTTGCAATCAATTGAAAAAAATAAAATGAAAAATCTGAAAATTACAAATCACTAGGAGCTGGAAAGTCAGCTACAGTATTTGTTTGCTGGAAGCTCAATTTACATTTAGAGTTAGAATAAAAGTATTTTATTCTAGAATAAAAGTATTTTATTCTAACTACTTACTTCCAGAACAGCTTTTTCAGACAAACCAAACAAACAATTTATTGAGAGTGCCAAATATCACAAATTATTGCAGCAGTTACAAAATACTTTCCAGTTTGAAATTATTTTTTGACCTGGCATGAGTGTTGCAGCAAAATGATTTCTTTAGTTTAGCCAGTACTGGCATTTGTGTTGCAGTCAGCAAAGATGAACTATGACAGGATCAAGGGAAATAGGAACATGAACAAACGTAGGAATGGTTTGTATGGTTAGAGGTTGAGAATAGGCTTTTTTTTTTTTTCTCTCCTTTCGCTTACCTGAATATAGCTAGTAGTCCCAAAACAGAATATTGGTGGATAGATAAGTAATTTTTTCTCCCATTTTTACTATTCTGCCTTTTTAAATGAAAAACAATACACTTTTCTTACCCAGTATGTAGACTACCCACATTCCAGTACGTCTGAGTACCTGTTTGTTACATCTTTCAAAATCCATCTTTGAATGTCTGAAAATTCCAGCATCGCACAAGAATTCTCCAGAAGAACATCAGTTTAAATTTCAGTAGTGAAATCTGAAGGAAGGGGGCGGGTTTAAACACTCATAAAGTATCAAAAGTTAAAATAGGAAATTGGTCAGAATTAGCTTGCAATAAAAATGGAGTATCAGAAAAAAAAAATCTGCTCACATAAAGTTGTAGAGCTGACGTTTTTAATTCAAAGAACTATGATAAATCTTTGGAGATACTGCTGCCTTACTTCTTAATGATCACTTCTTCTCACCCACTGAGTCTTCATTTTTTTTTAAATAGATAAACTTATGTGATCAGACCTTATGTCTTACATCATCAGTGAAGCCTTAGATCCAATATGATGGAAAAAGTTACCAGAACTGACAATTTTGTACAACACACTGATGTCTTTAAGCAGAGACTCCTAAAGCTCCACACTGCATGCATTTTCTAAAATTGACAGAACTATGCTGAACATGCATTTTTTATGCAGGTTCATGGCAAAACTATTTTTGCAAAAAATGAGGATCATTGACTTTTGTATCCGCTTCTTTTCTTCCCAAAAGCGGGCTTTAAAAGCATGTAGCACTAACTGAACTTCCTGGATACTACAGTTTATTCTACTTTCTGGACCAGTTAACAAAGATCACTGAGATTTTCCACCACCATTGAGTCTGGTTATCTTCTTGTTGTTACTAACAAGAAAAGTAATTCATCTCATATCTGGTATAGCCAAAAATGATGTACATCTCTAGCAGCATTAAAAAATCGTGGATGCATGATTAGTTTTTTAAACAGTTCTTCTGCCTAAAAGGCATCCTTAAACATTACTAGGTGATTCAAATGGGCCAGTTACCAAGAAAAAATTTAGAATACCTGCATCCATTGGAGTAGTAGAGTTAAGAATGGACACGACAGACCTGATCCCGTTTGATTTTCTCCAACTAAATGCCTGCAGATTCCAAAAGCGCATTTAGGGTGAGAAAGCACCACGAGATCTGGTCTGGGAATGGTAGCTTCAGCTGCCTTCTCTAATATTTTCTGCTATAGCACAGTGGAGCATTCTCCAGTAATTTTTACAAATCTTTATTACATGTACAGCACACATACCTGCATGAGAAAGAAGGCATTAGGCAAAACATTTTTTCTATAAGCTTTAATAAGTTTCTTGTTTGTGTGCATTAAAGTATTAATTGCAAAGGATGCACTGAGATGTATAAAGCTAGATTAGACAGCTGTTTATCTTTATTCTGTAGTAGCATTAGGGATCAGATCATTTAATTGCTTGAAGATATTTGCATTTTAATGGCAGGTAGCTGCGGAGCACCTACATATATTTTCTAGTAAACAAGGTTACTGCTTTATCATTTCCTAGACAAAAATGGCATTTATTTCTAGAGCCTTTTGGAGCCTTGTTTTGAAGTCTTCCATGTCACGCTAGTAAAGGGAAAGATCTACACAACACATATGCATAAATTCCATCACCTGCAGCATCTGAAGTGCCAAAACTACTTTCTTTGTTCTAATAAATCGATCTCGTGAGGGAAGTCATGTATTGTCTTGAAGGAACCTATCAAGTTCCTTTATTATATGGGTTTAAGTTTACTTTACTATTGTATGTAATTAGTTTACCCTCTTCTCTCCCACTGTCCATTCCATTTTAATATAAGAACTCAATTATAAAAGATCCAGCAGATCTCATTGCTTGGTGGTTTTTTTATTCTTTGAAGATAGATATATCTTTAAGTACAAATATACTGAACATGCTGATAGATTATTAATTTATTCTAGATACGAGCTACTGGAACTCTTTCATTTTTAAAAATAAATTATTTTTAGGAAACACAGTAATCAGTAACAGCTGCAATGTTGATCAGGACATGTTAACTCATAGTATTTGTATTAGAACTTCAGCAATGCTAGCCAGCTGTATTGTGATTTATTATGCAATGGCGCTATATAAAATTGTGAAGTTCATGTATTCCTCAATGAATACGAGTACGACTAATTTTCCAGTCCTCATACCATTTCTCTTGCTATTAAAATATTATTACCGTAAAGATCAGAGTTCTGTTCCTAAGCTCTGGCTTATACAGAGAATTTTAGAAATGTTTTTTTTTTTTTTTGTTACATTTTGTTGGTTTTTTTTTTTTTGTTAGGACACTTTTGGATTGCTGATAGTTTGCCCAATAAAAGTGATACGGCAGTATTAAGGTCTAAAGACAATATATGTCAGTGCATTCATGTGCTTGTGAATGGATTAGCAAAGTATTTCAAAAATCTTGTAGCCCCTTTAAAGACCATTCACTGTTAAATTCTTAATTCAAAGTATTTCCTTTTTGGCAAGTTGTATTTAACAGATGTACAGGTTCTTATACTTAGCTACATGGCCGAGCAGTTATCCTATGGGATGTGCACCTCACAACTGACGGTGTTTTCTCAGTGAGTATATTATGAAATTGCTGTTTAAAAGGGAAGACAATTAAAGCCGTTCTACGTCACATTTTAGTTTATAAATAGTAGGCCAAATTCTGTGATCATTTTCTAAACGTGGTGGGCTGGTAAAAATCAGTCAAGCACCGCTAGTGCAGCGTGGCCCTATGCCTAGATTTTCCTCTGAAATATCGTCTTACCATGGAAATGAGGTGGTGCCCCATATTCTGTACTTGCTAAGCAAGAGGAGTTCGTGAAGCACGCCCCGTGTCTCGCTAGGCACACCACTTCTCATTGCCGAGCCCGCTTCTGGCACCGCGTCTTTCTGGCTGGCTCTGAGCGACCCAGGCACGCCAGCAGGCATGGGGCGGAGGGCGCTCGGTGCCTCCAGCAGGGCAGCTGCCAGTGCCCATTCGCAGAGCGTTGCTGGTGGTTTCTGCAGATAGAAGAACATTTTACTGTTTTTTTTTCTTTCTTTCTTTCTTCTTTTTTTTTTTTTTTTCCTCCAGGTTTGAAAGCTTCTTCTGAAGTTGGCATTTGGGGGTTTAACCTGTTGTGTCCCTTACTTTTAAAATGTGGTTTAGCACGTATTCGTGGAGTGAAAATTACAAAAAGGAGGACAGGTGGCTGTAGGAACAAGAAAATGATGGTAGCTACTCTAGATGTGCATAGGCCCTTAAGCTGCAGTTCAGTTTGACTGCACATCTTCTGAATTCAGTTTGGTCTTGGTGCTGTAGACTCCTCTGAGACCCCCAAAACCTCTTTCCCACTATCACTCTACTATTTCCCAAGATAATATTGCTAATACTGTTACCTTAGAGCATACTAATTTGAGTAAATCAGGGCTTTCATTAGTCACATTTGCTTTAGGAATATATTAAATGTGTCCTCTGGTGTATTTTGTTTTCCAAGTTCAGTGCTTTTTAAGCCTGTACTTGATTCCACAGCCTTCACATATTTAAAGAAAAAAATAATTAAGAGACCACAAAGGAAAAAAAAAAAAATCAAAATCAAAATCTGATGCATGTTGTGTAAAATACCGCTTAGACAAATCTATTTTCTCTCTTAAAAGTCATTACTTTAAAATTAGGTCATCCGCCCCAGTTGGTGTTAAAGCAGGTTTAGCTACCTGGCGTTTTGCTGCCGTGTCTTTTGATGCAGTCACCTCCCAGTCCTTCAGTCCTTGCTTCTCCAGAGAGTAAGAAGACTGCAAGGTACTGTAACGTAGCCAACTTTAGCTTTGGGGAAATGAAGTTAGTGCTATTGTTAAAGTGAGACCAAAAGAGAGTACGTTATTTGAAGAGCAGCTATTTGAATAACCTGTGTTAGATTGTTATTCAAGTGCAATTTATTTTATAGAGAAAAATAAAGGGACATTTTAATAATGTTGTGAAAGGAATTAGCTTGGAAAAGAGCTGAGGATTCTGCTTAGTATCCAAACTTTTGTTAGGCTGGAGACAAAAGTTTTCTCCCTGACACAGAATCCGTTTAAGTCCAGAGCAACAGTCTGCTCGAATCATACACAAAACTGGGGAGAAGGTAGAAATTATTCTGAGGCAGATAAAAGAGCGTGTCATTCCTTTTATGACTCATAGCCAATTTCTCTGAATGTGGCGAGGCGGGGCGTAGCGCTGCCTTGGTCTCAGTGGTGTTTCTAGACTCACCTTTTCCCCTCAGACGTCTTGGCAGTGCGGGACTGTCTGGACTGGGTCCTGCTGCTGACACCGCGTTTGACTGCCTTGTCTGTAAACGTCACATACCACAGATCACTTGCCTTACAAGTATTTCCTGAAAAACAAAATAGAGTAAACTTGGTGCCAGAGTCCCCTCTGATATTACTTCTACTCTGCAGAAGCAGTAGAAAATCAATATAGTGAGGAAATGTATTGTACAGTACAGATTAGTGTATTTGCCAATGATGTAAAAACAGAGCAAGGGAAAAGAAGCACATTTGTAATAGCACAAAGTTACAGTTAGTCCACTATTGCACTGGGCATTGTATTTTTGAAAAACTGGGTAGATCCTTTGATCCAGCATCAATGGATTTACTGCATTTTCAGTCGGTTTAACTCGTTGCCTGATCCTCCAGCAGTTCATTCCTAAGGCCTTGCATTTTGCATACGTGACTTGATTTTTCAACAACTTCTATTCCCTCCGTAGTAATTAACGAAGAAAGGACCTTTTAAAATTACAAAGTCCACTGCCTTCATTTCTGCCGATTTCCTCCTCCAAGCTGAAACTCCGTGCACGTAAGCAAACTTCCAGTTACGGCCAACGTATCAATGGTGGCAGCTGACTGCTGGCTGTACCCAAGGTCCATGACAAAGCGCTCCTGATGCCCTACTTGGGGCCATAATGCTACCGTGTGCGGGGCCGGGAGGTGCAGGAGAGAAGAAGGGCCCACCCGGCGTGCTGGGACACTGCTGAGAGTTTAAAACCGAAAGGCAAGCAAGCTTAAGGAACATGTGCATGGGCTCAAGGTGTGTTGGCATTGGCAGCAGGCCTGGCTCTCCTCCCGAGCAAGCAAAGTCAGTGAGGTTGCACGGGAGCAGCACGGGGAGAATCGGGCAGTGCAACCATGTGTCTGCATGAGGAACGGAGGGCTACAGAAAAGAAACGAGCACTCGAGCTGCAAACCCTGGACCTTGGGCTTCTCAGCTGCCAGCAGATCTGCTGGTTGCTGCGCCTGGATCCTGGCGATGGCTTGGCCGAGCTGCCCCAGCCTCGCTGGGAGCCAGGTCAGAGTCACCGTAGTGAAGACATCACTGCCTCTGCCGGAAAAGATACCCCAAAATGTACGTTTTCTGCTGATTTGCCCCTTTCTGTTCTTACCTCTATAGATACTGTCTGTGTAGCATTCGACGAGGCATGCTGGGTAAAACATACTATGCAAATGTGTACAGTGCTGCATGCTCTGCTCTCCCTCGGCTTTCAGTGGCTTTCCAAGAAAAAAAAGAAAGTGTTGTTATTTTTGTGATCAGAATCATTTAAAAAAGACGATGCAGACTGCATGCTGGTAGTATCCTCATTTCTATGGATTTGTTTTATGGAATTTAGATGTACAAAACCGACCTGCATTACAATAACTTTTCTACAATAAATCAAAAACTACAAACAACGTTCCAAAGTCTTCTGAGTCTCTGTGTTCAGTACTCAGGACTGGGAAAATGCAGAGGAGTCATGAAAACAGTTGAGAACGTTGTGGCATTTTTATTGTTTAACGCTAGTTTTTGGAAGCAGCTTCACGTGTTAGCATTTTTAGTCAAAATTAATGAGATTCTGGAGAGAGACGTGCATCTGCTCTGAGTTGAACAAGGTTTATTTTTGAGTCTATCTGCTCTGAAATAGTCACAACCCAGAAGTACAGAGATCTGTGTGATATCTCACTACTCCATCAAGAAATAAAATGCTTTCGGCCAACTGCTCAGCTGAAGGATTCTCGAGAACATGAATGGTCTTTCAATCCAATCCCCAAGATGATCTCATATCAGTTTAACGTTTGTTCCTAGAAAGAAACTCTTATCAGAATAATGTGAGGTATTAAGGAGTGAAGGAGTAATTGAAGCAAAACCAAATGCTGTTTATAGTGTCTTGAAAGCAAGAAAGCACTGGAAGGTGCTGCCTTTAGCTAAATCCAAAAAGCAACCGCAGGAGTGGAATTACAGGGCGAGCTCCCTTCTGGAGTTGTTGGGGAAGCAAAGAGACTTCTTCAGAGTGAGTAAGAGCAGCCCAAACAAAGGCTGTGACCCTCTGAACCTGAGGGGCTGTGCTTTCAGCAGGCATGGCAGTGGGGGACCAAGTCGCACGGCGTTTCACGGAGCCCACCACGGGTTGCTGTTTGCTCTGCCTCCTGCCACCCACCTCCTCCTCGGGCGCCGGGGGCTCCTCTTGCATTTGCTGGGCTGATGGCACCTGCAACAGCCACGGTGTTTCTGCAGCCTTCTGGGGCTGCCTTCTATGGACAGAAATACATTCAGCAGGTAAGCTGTGTAATTAGGATGTGAATCAACTCTGACTTTTATGTATCTATTGCATGTGCAGGGGCTTAAACGTTTATAAATTGAATTACCTTGTCTAACTGTTCAGAATTAGACAGAAGCATGTGAGTTTTAATCAAAGCTGTTTAATTAAGAAACCACACCACAGGCCGGCAGCGCGCTTCTGACCTGTGGGGGTATGTGAGTGCCCCCAGTCTGCTTCATGGTTACCTGGAGCAAGACGCACACAACCTGACAAAGGCCTTTGGAATGTCCAGGAGGAAATTGTGTAATTGTATTTACAAAAAGCTGCGCCGATTTCTATTCCTGGAAAGCTTCCACCAGTTATGGCAAGGCTACTGCTAGCGCTGTCACGTAGGAAAGCAGCAGTGCAGCGAATGTTGAACCAGGCCATCCTGCAGTTGTCTTAGATTACAGCTGGACTACCAGAGGGAAGCAAGGGATGAAATCCTAACAGCTTCCTAAAATACACCATGTATTTCTTCATCTTGTGAAAATGCCACCCTGTTCTTGCAGTGGCTGGGTACAGAGAAGCGGCATGGCAGGACCCAGGGCGCTGGCCCCAACGCACAGCACCGCCTGCTCCGGCTCTGGCAGGTGCTGCTGCAGCTTACACCTTGCTTCAAAAAGCCACAGGGTCTAGCAAGAACTAGGTAGGGGGAAAAAACAACGCCTTGCTAGTTAAAGGTTTGAAATAACCATGTTTTGCTACCTTCTCGCCTACTTCGGTCACACCTACCTAACCCTGGGACGAGCCCACGGGTTTCGGAATCACTCGGTGTTTACACTGGGGGACTGCTGGTAGAGATGTACCGCGGCACCGAGCTTCTCCACTGAGGTTCAGCAGCAAGGACGAGTAGTTCCTCTGCAGGCTGAATGCCGAACTTGCCGAAAGGAGTGGCTGCGCTGCCCTGCTGACGGTCACAGCCCAGCCCAGCGCCTGCCGTGCTGACGTGGGCAGTGGCGGCTCCTGCCGCGTGCCTTGGTTTCTCTTTCACCTTCCCCGGCCAGCCGGGAGCTGCAGGTGCTGCACTCGGACACCCTTCCTTGCCCTAAGAGGAGGACCTGAATCTTGGTAACTTCAGCAGCTGGGCAGCAGGGAGGTGTGTTTGTGCACTGCGCTTACACGCAATAAAGTCTTGCTTTTTTTCCCAAGTCATGCTGCTTGCCGTGTCCAAGGTTAAAAATGAGGTCATGTCAAAACAGGGAACCAAAACTGCACAGAGCAAACAGCTTTCCTCCTCAAAGAGAGGCTTTTTTTCCCAGCCTGCCGGTGATTGTTCACCAAGCAAAGCTTTCAGACCAGCTGGAAGTGGCTGGGCTCACGCAGCAGAGCCTGTCTGGGTTTCCTGCCATTTAGGCAGCCCTGCATTGCTGGAAAGAAGCATGAAGCAGGAAGGCCACAGACAATAATATATTGTATCCAGTTATTTTCAACCTGGATGACTACAGATGTTACTGGTGCAGCGTGGGATTTATTTGTATCCGATTAAAGTTGTAATATTGAAGCTCATTATCAGGATGTTCATTTTCTTCAACTGCAACAAAAAGCACGAAATCCTGCAGATGTGAACAGAGACTCAGATCGCTCCAGACCTCGCTACTTCAGCTACGGGCCAGTTTGCAGCAGGGAAAACAAAAGAAAAGCAAGGAGCCACCATCAGAATTGTGTTTTCAACTTCGCATAACAGGCTTACCACCAGTTTCGCTTTTTTCACATTAACGCGTTTCTTCCGAGAAGCCAGCAAAGTTAAAGCTCCTTTTTCAGGTAACTGCAGGTGTGTTTATCAGGCCCGCTGGCGTGGTTTGAAACCAAGGCCCCTCAAGAGCTGTGGCACTTATCTCAAGCTCTGCAGAGAATATTTTGACGAATATGAACACCAGTGCTGAAAATACACACTGCTTAAACTCACAGCTAATCTCCAGTCTCGCCGAGAGACAAAACATGACCAGCTGATGTAAATTAAGCAGTCGTACAGCGGCTTACAGGGGTAAAGGCCTTGAGGTTCAGATGTAGGTGGTGCTGAGTGTGAGTGTGGCCAGACAACCTGCAGATAACACGAGGGACACGGCGTGGATTCCATCTCCTGTACTTTCCAAGCAAAGTCATTTCCTGGAGAGGGGCGAGAGGTGGGGGTGGATGTCCCAACGGGGGCGTCCATCCCAAATGTCTCGCCTCGGCTGTGATGCAAGGATGCACGCACCCTGTCTATGTTTGTGAGAGGCCACACGTGCTGTGGAAACCTGGCTCCTGGGGGCTCTCTGGAAACCTTTTTGGGATGAGTTTCTTCAGAGAGGGGCAGGATTCAGTTTCTGCAGGCTGCCTCTGGCGATGTTTAACTGAGACTGCGGCAGGCTTGCAAAGAAATTTCTTTATATGCACCCCAGGCTCTTGAAAGAAACGTGGCTGAGGGGTTTCACCACCTGCAGCCCTGAGCACGTGTGGGGCAGCGCCTTTTCTGGGCCCAGGCAGGCTTGTCCTAATTTGCAGGTGGCAGCCAGAGGGTGAGAGCATGGCCCTGGACAGTGGGGACTGGGAGATGCTGGCTGTGTCCCAAGGGGACTCCTTGTGGGACGGACCCTTCAGAGGGGACTCTGGGGACACCTCCTGCAGCCACCTGAGGGGAAGCTGTGGGGAGATGGGGGCTACCTCCTGTCACAGGTGACGGGAGTAGGGGGAACAGCCTCAAGTTGTGTCAGGGAAGGGTCAGGTGGGACACGAAGAGACAATTATTGCCACAAGGTACAGCCAGGAGGTGGTGGCACCACCATCCCTGGGGACCTTCGAGGAGAGGTTGGACGTGGTGCTTGGGGACACGGTGTGGTGGTGACACTGGGGGCCGGACAACAGGCTCAGGGAGGGTTCCTCCGACGTGTGTGACTGACTCCGTGTGTGACTGACTCCGCGCCTCAGCAGCCGCCATGGCTGAGGCGGCCACCACGTAACGGCCGCGGGGGGGAGGGCGGGAGGGCAGCGGCTCCATAACGGCTCCTCCCCGCGCCCCACAGCGCCCGCCCCGCGCCCTACGGTGGCCGCGCCGCGTTCGGCCGGGCCCTGAGCGCTGCGGGCCGGGCCGGGCCGGCGGCTGCGGGGCCGGGGGGAGGAGGAGGCGGCGGCTGCGGGGCCGGGGAGCGGCGATGTCGGAGCGCGGGGCGAGGCCGTCCCGCAGAGCGCGCAGCCAGAAGCAGCAGCAGCAGCAGCAGCCCCGGCGCGGCCCCCGCCCGCCCGTCCAAGCCGGGCCCTGAGCGGCCCCGGGCAGCGGCCGAGGATGGGGATCCTGCTCACCCGCATCTGGCGGCTCTTCAACCACCAGGGTGAGCGCGGCTGCCGGCCCGGGGGATGGTCCCGAGGGCTGTGCGGGGCTGTGGGGCCGGGATGGTGGGGTTGGGGGGGGAAAACCCCGTCCCCGCAGCCCCCTCGCCTGGCCTGGAAACCGCTGAGGTGAAGGCGCTGCGGGCTCCTGAATGTGCTCCCCTCGGTGCTGGGGCAGCCTGGGCGGCCCGAGCACTGCTAAACGGCGTGAGGGAGGGCTGGAAATGCTCACAGGTACATCTGTGCCAGGCTCTGGACCTGCTGAAGAGAAATGAGGACTGTAGGGGACAGGCACATCGCCCTGCCCGCACTGCCAGCGTCCTGCTCTTAGGGACTGGTTGGAGAGGGGTTGAGGTGTTGCACAGCCTCGGACACGAGCATTGAACGTGCCAGAGCTGTGCCCTGGGGAGCTGTGGGGTCGGGGAGGTGGCACACAGCACGGCCTGACACGGTTTGCAAACGTGTGCAGAAACTCCAGCCATCAAGAAGGGAAAAAATGTGAGTGCAACCGCTCAGAAATCGCTCCTGATTATGGATACATGGACAGGAAAAAATAACCAAGGCATGCCTTCCCGGGCTGATCAACCCATTTGTACATCTCCACAGACAAACTGGCTGCTAGACACGGCCGTGAAACGTGGCACCCGAAGTATGTGCGTGCTTAGGTCAGGCTGAAATGCTGCGTGACCCTTGTTCTGTAGCAGTCGCTGTTGTGATAGCAAGGTTAGCTGTGTGACTTACCTGTCATATTTTTGTTTCAGAGCACAAGGTAATCATTGTCGGTCTGGATAATGCAGGAAAAACGACCATTCTTTACCAATTGTAAGTATGAACTGCAGCTGATGTGTTGTGTGCTTCCCATTGTTCTCACCAGGTCTTGCTGCTTTCCCTGTTTCTTTTTCCTTTGAGAGCTCTGTGCTGAAAATTAATCACTGGTATAGGTGGCAACGGGTCAGAGCATGGGTTTAGGCTTCGGAAAGGTCTGCGTTTTCCCTGATGTATGCATAAGGTTCCGCTGAGAGCTTTTGTTTATCAAATTACATTGCTGTTACACTTAATCACAACTGCTTTTGGTGTCACAGTGCAGGCTGTTTGCCAGCTCCATAAAATATCATTATGTTTAGGGTTAGCCACAGGACAATGCTGGTGCACCGATCCGTGCCACAGCGTGTAAATATTACAAAAATTGTTCGTGAGGAGCGGAGCAGTGAAGCCTGACCTCTCCCTGCCGTGCCCTGTGTCCCGCCTGCCGAGGTGCGCTCTGCCGGTGGTGACAGAGGGCGCAGGCTGAGTGCAGGATGCCTTAGCTCTGCAGCAGGTGACACCCGTGCTGCCTGCCCAAGGCTGGATTTTGAGCCACCGAGGGGCTTTGCAGCAGTTTTCAATCAGTTCCTGCCTTTGGCAGGTCCTGCCTTTAGTGGTAGCGCTGGCTTGTGTTCATCTCGTGCTCACCTTGCTGCTCATCTGCGTGAAACTCGCACGAGCTTCGTATCGCTGGCCCTCAGCTGCTGCCCGATAAAGGGCTGCAAATCTGTCTGCAGACTGGGAGCTTCGAGGTGGGCCAGGCAGCTCAAGGTCTGTGTGCGATAGAAGCAGATTTGCCTTTTCTCACAGGAGGTAGTCCGCTATTAGGAAGTGTTCCTAACCCTTCAGTACCAGGAATAGGTCCTGCTGAGTGACATGGCCATCCTCCTCCAATCCTAAGCTTAAAATATGCTTTTAAATGGCGTGGGTTTGGGGTATTTTTGTCAAATTATGATACGTTTTTGCTTTTCTGGAATGTGAAACGTGCAGTATTTCCAGCCACTTATGTCCTAGCAGGTTGTGTGGTGAAAAGATGAAGGTGGTTGTTGTTATCAAACGGAGATTGAGAAATGTAGAATAAGTAGCAGGAAGTCGATTTTTTGGACTGATTTTAGTGGCTGCTGCTGCTGAGGGCCATCCTTGGTGTGTTTTAAAGCTGCCCGTGTCTTCCTACATCTTCCACAAATGATTCTTCTTTTTATCTCTTTTCATCTTCTTACTTCTGCAGCCTCAGTGTTTCCTTTTCCCTTTTGTGCAGCGGATCTCGGCACGCGTCCTTTTCCTTTCTACCCTTTTAGTGCAGCAGGACTTCCCCTTCTCTCGTGGTGAAGAGGAAGGGGAATACAAAGTTTGCTCTAGATGAGTAGTCTCCTGTTCCTCCTGCTCATTTCATCCTTACAGAGTCTTTGCATATTGTATTTTCGTGGCAGATCGGTGCCCTGAGCGTGAGCTCTTACCGCTCAGCTCTGCCCGGCAGCGGGGCAGAGGCAGCAGTGTGTTAGCACACTGCCCATGGCTTTGGTGTTGCACTGTTGCAGCAGTGGTTCTCCTAGCAGACCAGGGCAGCCCCACAGACACTTAATTTCTTCCCATTCTCATGCTCAGATCTCCCTCTCTCCTCGGCAGCAGTCAGGTTTTGTGTTCGGGTGTCTCGGAAGGCCATTAAGCTCCACGCTAACCTTGGTCCTGGGGGAGCGGGGCAGAAAATCCACCGATCGTGTTGCAGACAGAAATGCCAACGGCTTGAGTGTGGAAGGCTGCAGGTTCAGCCAGAAAGGGGATCCGCGATAGGCTTTTCCAAACATTAAAAGAGCTCCGCTGAAACCTGGTTTTTAAATATTAAATCAGCCACAGGCATCTTGTTACACCATTGTTTTCCTTAATTTGATTTTGTGGTTCTTTCTCTTTCTAATCCTTTTTCCCTTATCATAGCTTCCCCCAAATGTGTGTGGTGAGAAGATAGCATGCTGTGTGCTGCTAAGGCCCGGGGTAGCTGGGATTCCTTTCCAGAACACTAGGCTGTGCCTTTATCCCTCCGTTATCTGTATCCTCTTCAGGAAATCGTCCGGCACTCGTACAAGTCTCAAATTGCAGCCTCTGTCATGACAAGCTCTGCTAAAGCAGTTAAAAAAACACACATACAAAATGAAAAAATGTAGCATGATTATCACAAGAAAAAATATTTAAATTCTTTGAAAATGGTTGGCTCGTTTCCTTAAACCTGCTGTTAGTTGTTTGTTTGTTTTTTAATACATCCTTTACAATAGAGTTTAAATAACGTGAACTTGAGGAGTACGCAGAGCACACTTGTAGCTATCACTATTTATGTCAGGCTGGTTGTCTTGGTGACAGAGTTGCCCCGAGCATCGCTAAAACAACGCATTTGCCATCTTTAACATCTGCGTTCATCTCCACAAAGCAGAATCACTGGGCTGTGCTGGAGAAAAGAAGCAAGCTTGACAGAAAGTGACTGAAGTAGGGAGGGAGCATGTTGTAGTGGCCGGCACTGGGAGGAGAGGCAGGCGAGCTGTGTTTCGGTGGAGCTGGCTGAGGAGCTGTTGTTTTTCTGCAGCCTTGGAAGTCTTGTGGTTTAACCATATTCTTGGAGAAAAGCGACAGCTCTCCCGTACTGCGTGCGTGCCAAAGGCAGTCTGGAAAATGAAGAGCTGGCTGCTTAAGACAGTTTCTGAGGCAAATACTCCCACAGCTTTATCATTTAAATATTGAGTTTTATTCACAAACGCTCTCTCAGCTTTACAACTTAATTGTTATATAGGTCATGGAGTCTTTTTTAAAATTTTTGTATTCTCTTCCCACCTCATCCCTATTTGTTGCATAAGGTCTGCTTGCTGGAATTCACCCACTGAGCATTCGGCCTTGGAATAGCCATCAGCTTTAGTTCCTACAGAAGCAGGTTGCTTTGGAGTCCTAATAGGCTCAATAATGCCAAAAAGTTGGTGGTTCTGTGCTGGCAGTGTCTCAGAGTTGCTGTGTTCTCCCTGCAGCTCCATGAACGAAGTGGTGCACACCTCGCCGACGATAGGGAGTAACGTGGAGGAGATCGTGGTGAATAACACGCGCTTCCTCATGTGGGACATCGGAGGGCAGGAGTCTCTTCGGTCCTCGTGGAACACCTACTATACAAACACCGAGGTGAGCACGAGTACCCCGCTGCCAGGTTTGTTGTAACTCTCACTGGTGAAGGGCTGCAGCACATCTGGGGTGCTTTGCGTGGTGCTGTGGCTCCTTCGGGGTGCTGGGGTCTGAGCCCTGGGGCAGGTCCCAATTTCACTGGGTGTTGCAGCTCCCGGTGTTCACAGGCTCCTCGCGGTGACTGCTGCATCTCTGTAGCAGGTGCTTTAAAACCTGCAAAACCCCTCGTGCATAAGGCTGAAAGCCCCAAAAGTTTTCCTCCAAAACTGGGAGCTGTGTCTCGCAGGCTCCCTGGCTCACCCGAAGAGTTTTCAGAACTGTTTGGTGATGAAGCTGCAGCGTGTGTACTGAGCTCGAGTAAAACTATGCTTCAAGTCAAGCTTTCCTGCGTGCTAGCACTTGTGGTTTTGTTGGTATTTTTCTGAAGGTTAATTTCTATAATCTTTGTTTTCCTGTGCCTCGCTGGAAGGCACTCTGACATGTATCTGTGTGCGTGCTCTTGAAGCACAAACATGATGTGTGTTTTAGAATCCCTTGAAAATACCCACTTGCAGGTTAGAATTTGAAACAAGGGGAAAAAAATGATGCGCTTTGCCTATTTAAGGAACCAAATTATCTGAGGGATCTGCGTGCTAAGCAAAAAGCCAAACCAGGTCTGGGAGTGCAGACAAACAGTTGCTTTCAGTATAAATGTTTCACTTGAAAATGGAAGTCAGAAAGCTGTCAGAGCTACCTTGTGCATAGAGCATGGGACACGTTGTTAACCATAGCAGTGCTGTGGCCAGGAGAAGTGTGTAAGGAGCGAGATCATAGTTGATAATCCAGCTGCATATCTGCATAATCTGGTGGGATTGATAATCTGTTCTGCGTGAGTGTGCGGGGCCTGGAAGGCAGAGCGTGTTCTTTGAAGTGCTGACTAATGACTTCTGACTTTTTGAAGTTTGTAATAGTTGTCGTGGACAGCACCGACAGAGAGAGGATTTCTGTGACTAAAGAAGAACTCTACAAAATGTTAGCACATGAGGTGAGTAGGCTCTGAGTTCTCTTTGTTTTAATGCTTATTGCGGGTAAGATTTGATAAGATAAGGAAACGCACACGATTTGTGAAAATTCCCATTTAAGTCATGCTCCCAGCTGTGGGTAGTACTATCAGATTCATCTTGTTCCCTCTGGAGTTTCTGTCTTTTGTGAAGCTCCCAATAAATTTGTAAATTAATATCAAATTAGTTACCTCGCACAAAAATAACTTTCCAACTTCTGAGTGTTTCAGCAAAACAGAAGTTAGGCCCTGTAAATGGACTGATGTTGAAAAAACACAGAAGTCACGTTAAGAATGAGATAGCTTTTTACAAATATTACTTCCTCCAAAAGCTTAATTACCATTTTTGATAGCTTCACGGTTGCTCAATGTTTTCTGTTTTCACAGTGAAACTGATACAGTCTTACTAGGATATTTTATAAGGAATAGCTACAGAACTGAACAAGGGGACTGCCTGTGGCCTTTTTGACATTTGGAAGCTAACGAAACCATTTGTTTGGGGAACTTCTGAGGGAATATCAGTTTAAGTTTGCCTTATTAATGTAAACCCTCCTACACACCTCCACTGCCCACATTGTCTGCTCTTCTTGTTTTTTATTTATTTATTTATTTTCCAATTTGAAGGATAAGTGAGGAGTCTTCTAAGGCACAGAAGTAGGGAAAAGAATGAACAGAGACAGAGAGACTTGAGGAAAGCCAATTTGAGAGGAAATTAAATGAGCAAGGGTGAAGGGGGGAGCTGGGGCTCAGGAAAGTTTTGCAGTAGATGTTTGCTCCCCCTTTTCTTGATCTGAAAGCTCTTGAAGTCCTCCAGTTGTTAAAGATGGGCTACAGACCACACCTGTGGTCTTGATCTTATGGGTGAAAGCTGAGGTTGTTACAGTTCTAAGGAAACCTGTGCAATAATAACCTAACAGTAACTGGGATAAGAGCATGAAATAAACTCCTAAAGTACATGAGAAAGCTATAGGAGCTGTCATTCTGCATTTACTTGGAATTACAGAATGAGAGTACGATTTGCTAACTTAAAGACTTTCTTTAAAATTGAGCCCTGTATTAGGTCTGAAACTGAACCATCCGTGTCTGATTTACAAATACTCCACTGCCACATAAGCCAAGGAGCATCTCTCATGTGTTCTGAAACACCCAAACACTTCAATGGGGTGCACAGGAACGTACATAATCTCGTGGTGAAGTGCAGCAGGGCCAGAGGCTGGAGTTTTACTGAAGATATTTTTATAAGCGTGACTATTACTGTGACACCCAGGATAAGTTTGATGCAAACTGACTCAGTTTGTGTGAGTTGACACAGAGGGCATCGAGTTTCCAAACTTAAACTTGTCAGAATATGAAGACACTCATACAATTGATGTCACATCCCAAAATATCACATCTGTATTTCAGCCACAGCCACTGCTCAGTGGGTGGCTGTGGGAAGGGCAAAGGCTGTCTATACATTCTCTTTGAAAACTCACAGTAATCTGAAGCATTTGAGAAAAACAAAGGCTTTTTCTATGTCTTCATTTTTGTTTTTAATTGTTAATTAACCACAATTTAAATACCCCATTACTGAAGTTTTTCTTCAGTGTTGTGTTGGAGTAATCTGCTGAGAGCCAGAGGACAGGTAACCTGTTTTCTCTGAAGCAGGTGACCTCCTAAAATGTTTCCTTATCTTTTTTTTAACCATCTTGTGATGTTTTAGTGGGAGTTAAGTAAGAAACTGTGTTTTGCAGAACTGTGAGCTGCAAAACCTCAACCGCTGTCCAGCTGACACGCAGATTCTGTATAATCTAAACCATAACTGTTTCGTTCTCCTGGCGTGTCAGAGGCAGCCTGATTCTTTGCCCTGACTCTGTAGTCCTTATGTTTAACTTCTTAAAACATAGGCGTGATGTGGAGGTCTGGAACTTACACCTTGTGATGCTCCCAAGGGGAAAAGTTCTAATAAAATAAACTGGATTTAAGATACAGGTCTCCTAGGAAAGCTGGGAGAGCAGGGAAGAGGATAGGCCAGTCTCTTTCGTGCTGGTGTCAGCTCGTGGCAGCTTGAAGGTCCTGGGTCCTGCTGCCCGGGGTTTTGGTTCTCTTTTTTAGCGCCCTCCCCTGCGCGAGCTCTGTGGTTTTTGTGGCCGTGCCTGGGGGTGTTGGTTTCACCAGCTCAGGTCTCTGGTGTGGTGTGGCTGGCTGCTCAGCCCCCCGGGCAGAGCGGCTGGGACAAGACCAGTTAGAAAAACAGAGAGGATTGAATGGTCCCAGACCTGTCACTGGTGGCTGCCGTGGCTCTGGTGGAGCACTGTGTGTGCCATGGGGGGCTGTCGCCATCCTGTCTGCTGCTGCCACAGTTTGAGTTTCTTGGCTGCACGACTTAGTCTGTTGGAGGAGCTAAACAATGTCTGTGTCTTCTGTTTCATAATCTGAACATGTTAATGAACTGAAATTGAAATGAGGGAAGTTTGAAACTCCAAGCAGTATACGTGCCCTTGCTTCATGCTGGGAGACTGCTGCTGTGCTCAGAAAGCATCCATCCAGCAGCTGAAGTGCCCCTTGTCTCACAACACAGTGATGTTCTGCTCCCCCTCCCGATGCTATGAGACTTGAAGAGAACAACTATACCTATAAGCTGAAATGAAAATCAGATACTCATTTAGAACGGGTTTTCCTTGCAGTCTTTGAAAAAAAAAACCATTTTTGTTAACTAGCTCAGTTGAATTTTTGTTGAAGCAAAATTGGCCTGCTGAGGTCAGTTCCAGCTGCTTTCTGAACCAGAGGGTCATTTGGGAATTAACGTTATTGCTGGTAAAAACTAGTCTGCCTTACAGGCATTTAAGTGGTTGGCTTGTTTTGGCTTTCTGGGAAAGCCTTGCTGCTTTCAGAGGGACAGATTTTTAACAGTATGTGTCTGTACTAGCGTAATTCCAAGCAGTTTGAGATAAAATAAGCTTGGCCCTAGAGTCACCGATCTCTAAATTGTTGTACTGATGGCTTAAATATTGCACGGGGCGTTATACAGACACTCAGTGTAATGTGCGTGTTCATTTAGATGTGCGTCCTTTGGTTCTAAAGCCATGTAAAAGATTTCCTCCAAATGCTGAGTGTCCCCTAAATAAAATGGCACTGCAGCAAGCACTCTGCAAGGGGGGTTAGGCAGAAAGCCTGGCCCTGAAACAGGTGGGTGACACTGCTGTAACTGCACACAGTGCTCGTGGCAGGGACACGGGGTGTCCCGATCCTCCTGCAGGACAGCAACATGGCGTAGGTAGTTTGAGGCAAAAATTGGACATCTGGTCTGCTAGATCAAAAGATTTCCTGAAGTTAAACACTAATCAGCCTGCAGTGTTCTACCGGCTAGCCTTTTGCTACCACTCACGACTCACTAGTTTGCTGTTGTAGCTTTTGCCTCCAAGGATACTTTTTGTAATTACGTTCTTTTTTTTTTTCTTCCTCCCAAGGACTTAAAAAAAGCAGGTTTGCTGATCTTTGCTAACAAGCAAGATGTTAAGGAGTGTATGACAGTGGCTGAAATCTCTCAGTTTCTGAAACTGACTTCAATTAAGGATCACCAGTGGCACATTCAGGCGTGCTGTGCTCTAACTGGAGAGGGGTAAGAGTTATTCCTCTGTAGGAGGGGAGTCTGGAACGATTTTCATGTTTTTGCTGTGGTAGTTGGTTTTAACACACGCTGTTCCCTTCTCAGTAATAATGTTGCACTTAAATTTTTGTGTTCAGAATGTGCTGGCTTAGGATCAGAGTGACCCACACCCCAACTTCCAAATCAAATCTGCAGTCCCATCTCATGGAGGTGTACTTTTAAACGACTGGGGCTTCATGGGGGCAAGGGTGGGAACAACCTGAAATTTGTCGTGGTTTATTAAGAATAATTGCAATTAGAGAGACCTTCAGTGTATGTGTTGGAAGCGCTGGGAACTGGAGTCTCTCACCCATAGATTGCATAACAAGACCTAAAAAAGTGAATTGTTTCTGGAAATGATGCCTTCAGTCAGAACTACAGAGCTCTCAGGAAGAGTTTAATTGCTGTTTGTGTAAATTGGTGCCACGGAATTAATCATCTGAAGTTACCCCGAGGAGTGCATGTATTCCTTTAAAAATTATCTCTTTTGTTTACAGACTCTGCCAAGGACTCGAATGGATGATGTCAAGACTTAAGATCAGATGATTTTTAATGACCCCTTTGCACAGACTTTGCTTAAAAAAAGCTGTACCCGTGATTACCCTCACAGTGGCAGAATTACTGGGTTAGATGTATTTATAATGAACTGATGACAACTTTATTTTCTACGTAGATACACACACGTATTAAAAATTAAGACCACTCAGCAAAAAGAAAGATGCGGTTGATGGCTCAAGTTTGTTTTCCTGGTTGTTTTCCTCCGGGGATGCACATAAAAGCTGTGATCAACCATTTCAAGATACAGCCACTCAGAACAGTCTGATGCTGAGCATGGTGAAGATGAAGCAAGAGAAAGGAACTTTTATTTTGGGGTTTTACTATTCCGTTGTAGTCCTCTCTAGTCGAAGATGTGGCTTCATTATTCCAGTAAATTAGCAAACAAATCAATGGCATAGATATCAACTTTCCAGTATTTTTAAAGTTACTGATGTTACAAATGCAAAAATATTTTCCTGTATGTGTACTGTACATATTTGTGTATATTTATACCTCAATTTTAGGTTAATTGCAATCTGTTCAGACCAGTGTGTAAAGCTGAATCAGTATGTTGACAGTAGTACTAATATCTGACATTGCCAACGTGTCACAGCTTCTTTTCCTTCGTTATCCGTATGGCTGGAAGGCCCACCAGACAGTTGGCTCACCACAACTTTACAAAGCAAGCTCTCTCTGTGGACAGCTGCTTGTTTCTCACGTGATTTTTCAGTTAGATTTTTCATACTGGGTTGGGGCATATGGGTTCAACTTCAAATTACAGTATCGGCAAACAGTACAAATTTGCCAAAGAGTTTAAAACAAAACAAATTTTCTTTTTTTTTTTTAATGTAGCTGTCATTGGATTAGATGATTCCAACAAGTGCATGTCATGCTGTCCGATGCTACTGCTTTTCTTTTTTTTGCAGCACATGTTCCTTTGTGATTCAAGTCTCGCAGAAGTACCTTTAACTCTCCTAAAGGGAAAAATGTCACCTTTTTTTTTTTTTTTTTTTTCCTCCTTAACCAAAGAAGAGAGACAAAAGTATGTTTAAAAGTCCCACTGGAATCGTACAAAGCTAGTCGTGCTCTGCAGGAAGTGTTTTTCAGAGGAAGAGGCGCGTTTCCCTTTGATAGCATCAAATGTCGATATACCTATATGCAATGGCTGGAACTGGGGTGGGAAGGGGAACAAAGCAGACTACACTACTTGAAAAGCCCTAAGTGACCCCTTGATCGTGTTCCCACAGAAGTTCCAGGGCAGTACTTCCCGAAAATATAACTCCCTTGCATGGTCCCCAGGTGAGTTATCAGAAGTGTCAGACACTGTGTGATTCTTTCCTTGCTGTAGTGTTTGAAGGGGTGGTTGTGCCACGCAGACGGTCAGAATTAGCATTTTAAAGGGTACAGGCTTTTCAGTGGGATGGTTTGAAATATTACCAGTATTGTAAAGGTGCACACGTAGCCTTAATCCCGGGCTTTTCTGTTGGAGATGTGAGTTTGAAGGGAATAGTAAAAGGAAATAAAGGCGCCGTTTATAATGTCCTTCCCTTTCGTAGCTCGTGCAACTGATAAGGATGGAAAAGACATTTTAAAGAACAAGCTTAGAGTGAACTTTTTAAGGTGCTTATCTTGGTCGTGGGGTAATCCAGTCAGCTGCACCTGCCTTCCCATTTGCCTGCTTCACCGGGGATCATGTCGTGAATTTGTGGGGAAAAGAAGGGAGTCAGTTTCAAAAGTCTGTATTTAACAAAGGCAGGTAAAGAATTTAACTTTTTAATATATTTTTGGTATCTCTTTATGATGCTCATTGGCTAGGGAACCTGCTGTCTTTGTTAAACATTTTAACGTGTACATGCCTATATTTAGAGTGCATGCACATAGGTATTGGTATGTAACTGGTGTATTGCAAAATGTATAAATGTTTGAAGAAATAACAATTTAATGCAAAGATTACTTTCTCCGTTTATCTGATAGTATCTTCAAGAAACAAACTGTGCACTCTTGCATATAAAATGGAATTGTACATTTTCTAGTCTCAAAAAAGAAAAAGCAGACATGCTTATAAACCTAAGTGTCTGGTTTTTGAGTCTTGTCTTCCCTTTCATGCCTTTAAAATATTTTGCATTAATATTTTTAAGTACTGTACACTCTTGCCTGAATGTGTAAAGGTTGCGTGTTGTTTTTTTTGTTTGTTTTTTAAGACAATGAGTCCTTCCTGTTCACGGAGGAAATATCATGGAGCAGGTTTTTGATAGCCACTTCTTGCTGGAATTTGCTGCTTACTCCCTCACTTTGAATTTATAGGAGCTACAATGTCCATGTAATGAAAGCGTGGTGGTGTTGGTTTTTTTTCTTTTTTTTCCAGGTATGGCTTATGTTGCAACGAGACACCTTAACTTGCACTGACTGTCCTTTTCCCTCTCAGTATCCTGGCCACTTCTGTTCTCTGTGGCCTCTAAGGTACTGCAGTGGCAGCAGACCACAGCAGAAGCTGGGAATAACTGCACACGTGAAGTCTGCTTGTTCAAGCCGCGTCCTTTGTGCCCTAACGAGCTCGTAAGCCAAAAAGCAAATCGTTGCCTGTGTGTTGGATGGCAAGCAGTGCAGCCTTAACCCACCTACGAGAGCGTGTTGTATCGCATGCAATCAGCAGGCTCCTTTTCCAGCTATTTTGTGATGCCACAGTATTGTAACGGGGAGAATTGCTGTTCAGTAGGCAGAATTCAGCGGTGGCCAGTGCTCGCTGAAGCATTGCGTGCCTGTAGCATTCCTGGCCAGGGCTTAGGAAGCAAAGGAAGACGTGCCTTCATTTCATGTGCTAGATTTGCAGCCTCTGAGGGTGGATTTTGTCTGTGGTAGCTGCCCTCTAAACAGATTCACACTCTCTGTGTGGCTGTCCCAAATTCTCACAGCACCAAGCAGGTGGCTGGGATCTTGCTCAAGGTGCAGTGAAGACTGGAGAAAGCCAAAAAGCTGCGTCCAGGTGTCGCAGGGGAAGTTTTTGTAGAAAAGTCTGTCTGGCTGAAGGGTTAGCACAAGAACAAGCGTATCTGCTCACATACTAGCGAGCAGGCTACACAAGCATGCACCCTCAGGATGCTGTTGTGGCTGTGATGGTCTTTTCCTTTGCACCCTGCCTTGTAAGTAATGTTACAAACATTTTCAAACCTACTCATGCAGCAGAACTAGAGAAGCGCAGACAAACTTTTGACCTCACGTAAGCCCTTTATTACGTGCTTCTCGTTTACAGCTTTTTTCGTTTCCCTGTAGGACAATTCATGGCTTTTTACACAGCTCTGCCCGTAGAAAAGCAAGTTAACTTTGCACCGATGCTGTTTATAGCTTCTCTCAGTTATTGTGTGGAATTGATTGTCTTAACATGAGTCATCACCTTGAGTTGTATGGCTTTTGTGTTGTTACCCTCCGTGTGTTGTCTTGCCTTTCAGAGAAAAAGCTTAAGATTACTTTCCCTTCATTCTTTGTGTAATTCTTTTGTAGGATGTTACACAGAAAAGGGAGGTGTCCTGAAAAAACGGTTATTTAAGTTTATGCTGCAGAACAGCATTTTTCTAGCAAAAAACGTACCAGTAATTCATATTTCAATAATCTATTATTTAGATGTTTCTTTGGTTTAGCAAATAATAAACTTTGTAAATTGGCTGTACTCAGTGTTGTCTCTGTGATCTGAAAATTGCACAGATCTTTAACTGTGAGAAGAGGTGGGATATACAACTTGGAAAATATGAGGAGATCAATTTGGCCCATTTTTTCTATATTCTTTTTTTTTTTTCTAGGGAGGCTTAGTAGCTGTTTTCCTATGTATTAAATAACGTGCTCCCAGGGGTGTGTGTGAGAGAGTGCTAGGCGCATCTGACAGGCACCTATGATGTCTATGCAGCCCAAGTGCCTAAAGCTAATCCCCTAATCACTTTTTTGTGTGCTAAAACTTCCATTTTCCTAAAATAGCTCTATTTCTATAAAAGCATCTATGTACAGTCATGTATAAATGAGCATTCTTCCCCTCCTGACTCACCAGTTTTAACACAGCTTGTGATGAATTTATTTTGTAGTTCTCGGAGCTCTCTGTCCTCTGCATGCCAAGCACTTTTCCCTTCATTGGGCTCGCCATGGCTAGCTTTTGTTGGGAAAGGAAATACTAAATTTGTCCTGGTAGCAGGTTGGTTTGCTGGAATTCTTTTCAAGGAACTGTGTTTAAATAACTTAATCCAAGAATACTTGGCCTTGTAAACATCCTCGTGCAAGTAGTTCCTTTTCAGTCGGCTAATAAAACATTAACTTTACTCTCAGACGAGTTATGTCTGAGAAGGTTTCTCGGCTAACTCAAATAAAAGTAATACTGAGCCTTTAAGTGGTGCCTCACTGAGCATTACGGGGTAGGAAGGATGTGAAGAATGGCACTAAGAGTAACGTGTGTAAGCGTACGGTCATGGCATGTACTGTAAATAGAAGTGTGACTTGGATATAATTGTTGCAGTGAGTGTATTAAATGTGGAAAAGTGAGAAATAAGTGGTTGCCACCAACTATTTTTTATGGTGTTCTTTAGAATCACAAGCAGAAATTATATTCTTGCCTTGGATTTTACTGGTTAATTTTTGTATCGTACAGAAACTTCTTCTTGAAAGATCTCTTCCCATCAGATAGCAGCCTGATGTAAATCATCAGCTCAGTGTTGCTCTTATCTAAATATTTCCTGTCTCTACTCATGGCGGGTAGAAGAGGTGGCCAAGAAAAGATGTAGCCTCCTGAGAGGTCCGAAGAGGAAAAGCAAAACAAAACAAACCTCAGATTGGGAAGCCTGAGCATTTCTGTGGCTGACAAGTTTAAGAACTGTCTCTGTATAACAGAGGAGTGGCAGCTGAGCCAGTCCCAGTGTCTGTGTAGTGCTTGTTCTGAGGGTTTGGAAGGTGTCCCCAGCTGTCCTGGCTGTCCGTGCCTGCAGCCCCGCTCCCCAGCTGTGCCGCTCAGCTTCCAGGGCTGCCTCGTCCCGAGCTCAGCCCCACGCTGGTTGCATTTCCAGCCTCCAACACTAAGCCTCTGCCCCTCTGAGTGGGAAGTACACCTCGGGTTGGTATGCTGATGCTGTGGTTGCGTTACAGAATATTGTCTCCGTTGGGATTTTTACAAATGCCAAGTAACATCTGTACGTATGCCCAGTAAGGATGTGTCCAGGGTCGTGTTTATTTTGATCACTTTGTGTTTTGTACTTTCTAAAAAGGTTGTCTTCTTTCTGAAAGAAATGCGTCAATACACGGCTAATTCTGATACTGCAATAAAATGTCATTCCAGAGCGCACAAAATTACTGCTTCAAATTAATGTGAGGACTTCGGGGCTGGCTTGAGCACTTGTGTGTCTGAAATCTGTGCTAAAACTTTATAAAGCTATTTATTGTAATAAAGTTCAGTTATGATTCTCTTACGTAACATCTTCTGAAACTTGATCAGAACATTCCTTGAATTGTTTCCCCCTTACCTCTTTCTGTCTTTCCTGGCTTTTAAAATCCAGTTTTCAGTTAGTTGGAGGGAACTTACCGAGCTCTTTTAATTCTTGTTTGGTGAGGTGAAACAAGCACACGTTTGGTCTGGAATTGCTGGGGGGCTGAGGGTGGGCAGGTAAGGGGCTGCGTACAGTCACGTAGACACATTTATTTGTAACTTCAGAATTGCTTGTCCTTAAAAAAGAAAGCTACCAATATTTATTATTTTAAGATGAAAGTGCTTGTCAAAATTGTACAGTTTGCATTCTACCTTTTGTGTGTGTTGCAGCAAAACTTTTTCGGAGCAAATGTCTGATTTCCCACCCAGCGCAGGGGGTTGTGTAGGCGTTCCCGGGGTAGGAAGCACTGTTGTTCTGTGCTGGTGGGGTTTCTGCTGGAGGGTTTTTTGGTAATTGTGTGTGCTGGTTTTAAGTAGAACAGAAAACGAACTTACTGGTGAAATGCTCTTTTCCTGTAGAAAACTCTGAGTTCCAGTGGTGTGTGTGCTGCTCCTACGCGGTCACATATCACACGCTGCTGTTTGCAGCTTTGTAAGCAGAGGGGGATTGCAGGTAACTGCTTACAAAGCAAGAGAGATGAAACTGAAGCTGCTCAAAAACAACAACAGCAAAACCAACCGTGTGTGTGTGGCTGCACCAGCGGTGTGCTGCCGCTCCGCTCTGCAAGGATGCAGTCGTGTGCCATGGGTGTTAACCTGGGGCTTGTTGCTCTGCTTCTACCTGCACAGTACTTGTGTCCACATGAAGGTACTCTTGCAGAGTAAGTTTTCTGTTGATTTACGTAATGTGTAGACATGTTAAATGGGTCTTGAGGAGCGCAGTAAAGGTGTGACACCACTGTTACAGTGGAGAGAGGGGTGGCAAGATGCTGCTGATCCTGCTGCCTCCCGCTGCAGCCGCTGCCTTGCGGTGACCCGTGGCCCCTGGCCGGCCCTTGGTCCTCAGCACAGCTCCTGCCCGTGTCCTGCTGCTTCTCGGCCTCCTCACTGTGATACTGCTTGGCTTTGCTTCAACTTTGCTTCGTCTTTTAAATCTGATCAGATTGGAGAAGTTAAAAACCAAAACAGCCTATGTGAGATACTGTCGTCCCGTTCAGTACGGGGTTTCTCTGACCTGTTCATTCCCCAAGACCACGTGCCCTTGGTGCTTAGACTGTAGATTGCCATGTTAGTCCATTAAAAAAAAATACAAAATAAGTATTTTGGAAGGTTTTCATTCCTGTGTGTTAGTGTTAAATACCTTTTATTCTTGTTAGCTGCGCACAAGAAGTTGTTTGCTACTGCTGAACTCTGGTCCCTTTACAGAGAGCAGGCCTCCGGGAATGAGCCTTGCCTTAGGCATTAACAGCTCCTGTGTGAAACTGTAATTACATTTCTTAAAATCCTATGTTGCTTTTTGGCTTTTTTTTTTTTTTCTTGAGTGCAAGATACTTGGACTGCTGTGTTCTCTTTAATTGTCTTTTTTTTGAGTTAAAGCATGGTATCTTTTAGATCTTAATACTTTTAAAATTACAAATCATACTTTTAAAATTACAGATGTTACTCTTACTGCACAGTGTACATTGATTTATTCTGTCTGAATGTGTAACAGATCTTTAACATGATGCTGAAGTAGATGCAGAATTATCGTACAGTTGACATCTCGGGAGCTGATGTTGTTACTGACTTTGTTCTGTCTTGCTTTTGGTCCCTGGTTCTTTTGAACGGGCAGGTATTCTTCTTCCAAATGTGTGTGTGTGTTTGTATAGGCAAACTACTGGGGTCATGCAGAGAGATGCAGATCTTGGAGTAATAATATTTTGTCTAAACTCTTTGTACATAAAGATTTGGTATAAATACTGGTACTGTTGAAGACTTGCTTCTGAGGTCCTCGTACTGTTGAATCCCAACAGACACCCCTGTTAACCTGTACGGATAGCTTTAAAACATGAACTAATGGCTGCATATTAGAGCTGTATAAACAACTAATAAACATCATTGTTTATATTAACTCGGATGGATAATTTATTTCTTTATTTTTAGACTACCCATAGCACTTTCAAAGCAGGTTTGACATTTTTTTCAGTGTATGCATCTGTGCCTGGCAGCATGGTGGGAGCTGCCCCAGAGCAATTCCAGCTACCTCAGGCTCCTGCCAGTCAGCCCTGGATCCAGCCCTGAGTTCTCCGATGTTTCTGAGCCCTGGGAGCTGCTCAGCAGCTGGGGTTTGCATCGAGCCTGGAGTTCCTGGTCCAAAGCCACTGTGAAGGGTTTCTGCAGCTGCTGATGCTCCATGGGCTGCTTCCTTCCAGGGAGGCCAGAGGGGGGCAGGATCCTCCTTTTTATTAGCAAAGAATTTAAGGCTGGAAGTTTTTTTTTTTTTTTAAGGGAGTTGAGCTATACGCAAGTTGATCAAACATTTCAAGCCTGCGTAGCCACCAAAATAAATCCCAGACCCTCTCTGCACCTTGCAGCACCATGACCACTTGTGTGGCAGCACTGAAGAGGGGAGACCTAAATCTGTGATGAAAACACTTTCATTTGTAACCTTCTGAATGGCTCCCAGCTAGCTTTGTTCCTCAGTGTCACTCAGGATGCTCAAATGGCTCTTTTGGCACAGGCAGGGTGTGGAAATAGGTGGTGGGGAGCAGAGAGGGCAGGGGGGCAATGGGACTGAGGGGCTGGAGCTCTCGGCAGGTCTGCCCAAACAGCTCCCTCTCAGGCAGGAGAATGGCCTAAAATAGGATCAGCTGTGAGCAGATGCAGCCTTGAGTTACCAGCTGCGTGGGCAGGACGTGGCACACAAACCTGATTTCCCTGTCAGCTTCATTCCTTTGCAGGTAACTGCTGCTAAGCCTCACCTGGGTGCGTGCTGTTGGTTAAGCTTTGAGTTATGTGGGCCACCTTCTCTTCAGCACAGCTGCATTTTCAGCTTTTCACCTTTCTCTTGAGTGTTTGGGGTGGAAATCCTGCTCAGTGCTGGGCCCCTCCCTTGTGGCAGGGTTCAGGGAGACCACACTCAGCTTCAGCTCCTTTCCCCACAGGAATGCGTGTCCCACATTGCTGTTTTGTGATTGCTCAGGTTTCTCTTCCATGTGCTCCTCCAGGCTTTCTTCATGATGCTGCAAGCTTTGAGCACACGGTGGGGCCGTGCTGGCTCCCATGGGATTCAGCACCTTGCACCCTTACAGCCTGCCCCTTACAGCCCAGTGCTGCAGAAGCTGCTAGCCCGGGCTGCTCCCCCGTGTGCCAGGCGTGTTTCTGAAAGACTATCATCTTTCCTCTAAATCATCCCTCGACTGTGCTGCTAAAAACTCGGTCCCCTCTTAGTCCAGATAAATGCTTACGATGTCACGGAGCAATTTAGCGGGCTGCTGGAAGGCCAGCAACCCCTTCCTCACGTTAGTTTTTGTGTCTTGGGACGAGCTGTTGTTGAGGACAGCCACGCTGCAGTTTCAGGGAGGTTTTGCTGGCCTCTGGCCGTGCCCACAACACGTCTTCTGCTCCGGCTGCTCCTCGCTGCCTTTGTCTGTCCCCTGTGAGCAAGGCAGGGATGGAAGCTTACCCAGCACCCTGCTTCAGCCTCAAGCCAGGGCAGCGGTGAGACCAGCAGTGAGACCCTGGAAGACCTTTTAAAGTGAGGGTTAATAATGCAGGTCTCCCTGGAAGATGTGTCTGTCCTCAAGGCATTTATTTACCCTGAGAAAATTGCATTAGTTTGTCTAGGGTCTGCTCTCTCTAAAAAGTCCTTCCTTAGTAAATTTGAAATTGATGTGTTTTCCTGTATTTTTAGGCTGTGGAAGAGATGGTTGTTTTTAAACAGACAGGTTTTGATAGCTTTAAACATGCCATTTCTTTGTAGAAATGATTCCATTAAACCTGAAAACGATTTCCTTCATTTTCACTGCCAATGCCCAAACCTTCAACAAACAGAAATATTTGTGCCACGCACATTGCTCAGAGATCTGGGGGTTAAAGCACTTCTACTGGAGATATCTTGCTCTTGAGTCTTTGTGCTGCAGTGCTAAACCTGAAGGTGAGGTCCTTCAGTGCAAGGCATCTGAACTTGATGTGTTAGATCATTACACCTGATTTTTAATGGGAAGAGAATGACTGCATTAATCCATCCCGTCCTTCAACAACCTTCACCCTAACGAGAATAAGCTGAGTGCATGCTCCAGCACAGCAGGATGTGTCTCGACAGGCCTCCAGACTCCAGGACGAGTTGTCTCCTTGCCCAAAACCAAGCTTTTCCTCCACGGCACCACTGCTGGGGGTGCCAGCCCAGCCAGGCACGAAAGCAGGTCCCGCTGCTGCTGCCTGCGGGGCGGCTCGGATGGCACCTGTGCCAGAGCTGGGGTGGTTCTGCAGCTGCTTCTGTCCGTCCTCCATCATAATGCTGCTTTATAAAAAGAGCCGTGAAGTCACCAGCCTTTAGCCTCCCTCCTGTTTTCAGTTATTCAGGCAAAATCCCCTTTTGTGTCACCGAGGAAGCAGCAATGGGAGGACTTCAGCCTGCAGCCGTGTGTCAGCTCATGAGCTGCTGCAGGTTGTACTGCTGAATCCATTGCTCTTGGTACAGAATGGTGCAACGCCAAGTGAGCTAGGGGTATTATCTGTGGGGCTGCAGTTCCTCACTGCAACAAAATGTGACTTTGTTGATGAACTGCTTATCTTTTTGTCTAGTTTTACTCCAGAGGCGTGAAACGGGAGCAGCAGTGGCTTGCTCATGGATGCAGCTGCTAGCAATAGTCCAGCGAGTTTCTCCCGGTGGCTGCTGTGCTCATGACCTTCGTGCTGTGTCACTGACCTTTCAGGGAGCATTCCACCACTGGGCACTGCTTCTGCGAAGTATTGCTGGCCACGGCGAGTAAGCACTCAATATTTTATGGACTACCACAGATGGTATTTCAGGATATGAGATGCCATTGCAGCAATGCACGT